CACAGGTACACAGGTAAACACACACAGGTACACACACACAGGTAAACACACACAGGTACACAGGTAAACACACACATGTACACAGGTAAACACACACAGGTACACAGGTACACACACACAGGTAAACACATACAGGTACACAGGTAAACACACAAATGTACACAGGTAAACACACACAGGTACACAGGTAAACACACAGGGGTAATACTCAGACTTGGTTCTGGTTCTGTAAACCTTGTTGTGGTTCTGATGGTTCAGTTTCTCAGAACCTTTAGATAAAACATCTTCAGCAGACATTTGTTTATAAACAAAGTGAAACAGAGTTGTTTGTTGATGTCGGTGGGTGTGTCCTCCTGCAGTACCTGGACGGAGCGTACGCCCCGGTTCTGGACGCCACGTTTGTCATGGTGGCCCGAGACCCGGAGAACAAGAGGTACCTTCAGGTTCTGCTGATATTTAGCTAGCAGAGGAGACTCGTGTTTAACAGGTGGTTTTTRTTTTCAGGGCAGCCTTTGTGAATCCTCTGCAGCCCGACGGTCCAGAGGAGGAGAAGTTCCTCCAGGAAGGAGAAAGTGAGAGGAAGTGATGTCATCACGTGGTTAAGCCTGCGGCTCAGACTGACTCTGGTTTCTATCTGCAGCTAATAAAACTCGCCGCGTGGAGCTGAGCACGGCCTCGCTGCTGAAGGTCGCTCCGACCAACGAGGAGAGGAAGATCATCCACGACCTCTTCCTCAACACCCTGGACACAAAGTATTAAAGCTCTGAGCGCTGAGTCAGCGTTCGCGCTGCTCACTTCCTGTTTACCTTTAACAGTTTGACACCACAGATAATCTGTCTGCTTCAGCACCGTCAGTTTCCGCAGCCGAGTCCTGCCTCCGAACTCCGTTTGGATGGAAGACGCCAAGCTGAAAGGTGTGGAGATCTGCCACCCGCAGGTGAGACCAGGAACTGCAGGAGGGACCGGACCGCGCTGCTCTTACCTGTGTTGTCTGATTCTCACCTGGTTGGTTTGTTTTTCTCAGCAAAGGAACATCTTCAACAGGATATTTGGAGGATTTCTCATGAGGAAAGCCTACGAGTTGGGCTGGGCCAACGCCTGCTCCTACGGGTGAGAGGTTCTGACCCGTGAAACGACCCGGATCAGTTGAAGGTTGGTTTCTGACTCGTAGATCTGTTGCAGAGGCTGTCGGCCCAGTCTGGTGGCCGTGGATGATATTCTGTTCCAGAAACCCGTGGAGATCGGTTCTTTGTTGATGCTCTCCTCTCAGGTCAGACCATTTCAGCTCGAGAAACATTTAAATAACTCATTTAATAATGTCTCACAACAGCAGCAAAGTTATGGTTTCTTTTTATCAATACAATTCAAAAACACACGAAAGCATTTGCTTCTATTTGCTGCCATCTTTAAAAACTAAACTTTAGACTTGAACAACCTGCTGGTTTCTCTTTGTTTCAGGTGTGCTACACTCAGGGGAAGTACATCCAGGTCCGAGTTCACAGCGAGGTGTTCGACCCGCTGACGCAGAAGCACAGCACCACCAACATCTTCCACTACACCTTCGCTTCGGACCGAGACGTCCCCAACATCGTTCCCAAGACGTACGGAGGTAAAACAGCTTTAAAAACATTTAAAACTGAACTTTAAGTTTGTGTGTTTCTGCTGCTGATTCTATGTGTTGCTTAATGTTCGTGTCCAACAGAGTCCATGCTCTACCTGGACGGGAAGAGGCACTTTAATCAAACTGTGGAGTCCTGAGACGTCAATCAAACCATGGATTTTTGTTTCATCTGAAACAAATACATTTATTAAGCTTCATGCATTTTTTTATACATTTATTTACTTAAACTTCAAGAGGTTTTTGCTCCTTTGCTCTGGAGGTTTACAGGAGGAGTTGGACACTTTTAGCTGTCTCTCCTGAACCTGTCCCTCCTTCCTGCTTCACAGCTTTTTCAAGMCTTTCTTCTATCTATCATCTAAAAACAAAAGGAATTATGGGTTTGGTCAACTGGTTTCTGAAYGCAATCAACACTATTTTTTCCACACTGAGATTGGAGCAAGGGGAGCACAGCTWTCCCAGTGGAATGGTTGCTGCTGGTCGGGTYGCTGGTTCTTGGGGTTGGAACCTGATCTGTTTGGCGCCRCTTTCCATTGAAGACGTGGAAGGTTTGTATATATTTGGAWTTATGATAACTGGATTCCTGCTGATCGACTGTGGAGGAGTCCTGGCTTATCGGAAAATGAAAGYGATCCTGACAGCAGTCCGGGCCTGTCAAAAGCTGTCAGGAACTTTGGATGGAGTCTCCCGTACTGGAAACGCACAGACTCATGCTGGGGGAGAKAAGTCGCAAACTGGACGTGATTCTGACGAGAATCACAGCCCAGCAGCGTGCCTGTGAGGAGTAGGATTACACCTGGGTGAAGTTCCAGACGGAAAGAGAGGYGAGGAGGTGATGAAATTCGGAACATTCAGGTTTTTTTTTTTGCCATTTCAGAGATGCAGTTAAGACTGTAAAGCAGCAAGAAAATCAAGGCTGCTTGTCCCAAAACAATTATGGTTATCTTTTGGATCCCTGCAGCTGCTGACCTTGGTGCTMGGYAGTGATAAAAACTTCCCTGGTTGACACATGAACAAAGRCTCAACTCCCCATTCCCTCCCCCGTATCATCTGTGGGTGGTCCAGTCCAGAGGCCACKGTTGTGGTGACAGAGARCTGAACTCTGGTGAACTAAGCTTRGGTTGAAAATGTAGCGCAGCCATATTGTGAAAGACCTGGGCATCTGTTTTCCCCAATGTTTATATGTATGTGTAATAAGAATGGGTGAAGCTGTGTCCAAAACAACAGGCCGGGTCCTCCAGAGGACCCAGACTACCCGGTCGAGGCGGGCCGGGTCCTTTGTAGACCGGGAAGACCGGAAAAAAAGAGGCTGTGAATTTGGACGGTCTAGCCTCCCCTCCTTACCCCGGCATACGTCATGTCACCTAGCAACTGTGACGATGCTAAACAAGCAAAYTTAAATCAAAATTAGAAAAATATCAATACATTAGCATTATTAATATCACAAAACAATAAAATTAACTCAAAAGTATCATTTGAAGAACTAATTGACCCGCTGTAGGTGCATGTTTATTTCGCGTTTTTTTATGACAAAAATAATATTTAAAAACATGTCCATACAAATGATAAAAGTATTAGAATTACAACCGCTAAATTTTTTAAAATTTTTAAATCACCATATTTTTATTTAAAACGTATTCTTTTGTCTCGCTTCGTCCGCCATTACTAGCATAAAAAAATCTCCGGTCGGGCCGCAATGCATTATGGGATATGCTGGGCCGGGAAGGATCCATCGGACCTGTCCTTCGATTCGGGCCAAAGGAAGGACGTATTTGTCGGMCGCATCGGAGGAGTCTTCGGTTTTGGACGKCCTTCGTCGCGGCGCTGTGACGTATGCAGCCGACAAATTCGGCCTTCAGAGGACCCGGCCTGCCGTTTTGGACACAGCCATAAAGCACTCACAGACAGACACACTTCACTCTAGCCTCACACCAGTAACAAGCTGAGGCAGACAGTTTGAATGTTGTGGACCAGATTTTGGTGAAGCCATTTGATAGTCTTCCATATGAAGAAAAACTTAGAGYTAAACAGCAGGGCTGATCAACTCCTCAGATTAATTTGGTGAAAAGGTGGGGAAAAGTAACAGGTCTTTTCAGCGGTCCTGGTATGACAAAGTGAGCTGGCTGCTGTAAAACACTATAGAATAATCTGGAAAATGATTATAAAAGCAGTGGATCAATTAATTCCTTTAAAAAATGATCAAAGCAAAATTGTTAAAGAAATATGAAATTGTTTAATTTGTATTTGTATGAGTCACTGTTTGAGGAGTTGAATTTTTTGTCATGTTTTATTATTTGGTTTATTATTTGAAATTAATATTTTTTCGTAAATAGGAGCAGATATCATAAGATACTTTTCTTCTGCTGCTGCCTTTCATTTTATTTTATTTGTATTGTTTTATTTTATGTAATGTTTTGTTTTTAAAATGAAATGAATAAATACTATAAACTAAAAAAATGATCTGTGACAGAACGGAGGGTAGAATTTATAAACCGACACGTTTTATTATGTAGGCCGAAATTGAAAGACCAGCATCCGCCACTGGTTGAAGTAGTGCTACTCTTACTTGAATACAATTTTTGGGTACTCTACCCACCTGAGTTTATTTATTACTGCAGGTGAGGAAATGATTTGATGTAAAAAATGAACTGTCTTTCAATTTCAAAAGTTTTTTTCATAAAATAACAATTTCTGCTACTTGGCTTTAACAAAAATAAGTTCTGGGTTAAATTGTTGTTTCTTTTGCTCAGATATGGACAAAGACAAAAAACAGATGAGGAGGGAAGACGAGACTGAACTGACACCTCTCCACACAAAAGATAGAGATTTTGTGTCAACATCAGTTTAAGATTATTTATAAAATCACTCAAGGTCATGACTTTGCATTGGCCCTGACCCTTTACCCTCAACCTAACCCCCTGACTCACCAACGAGGGTTTTCCTTTGTGTGGACCAGGCAAATGTCCACACAATGACAAAAAGTCCACATTAGCATACTATGTCCACATAAAAAATAAAAAGATGACCTTTAMTCAATAATTAACTGAGGTCAAATGTAACGTGGCCACCACAGCCAACTGACCTTAGAAAGCACAAACGTTGGTAAGGTTTGACCAAAACAGCCACAATGCAACAAGAGACAATCTTAGTCTAAAAGAAGCCATAAAAGGCAACGGGTGACRTGCACTCCTCCAAGGAGCACTACGACTAATTCATGACTGAATTCTTTACTGGTTACTTTTTAATTATGATGGTGATCATTTATTTTCACACACAAAGATCCAAACATGTTTCAGCTACAGTCCATGGTAACATCCGATGGTTTGCTCACCCAGATCTTGCTGGCTTTGCTGACAAAGGAGAGAGGCGACAGGTGGTGCACTGCTGAGAACAAAACAGGAGGCTCAGGAGCTGAGGGCCCTGCTGAGAACCTCTGAGGGAGGAGMTCCAGAAGCTGGAGGTGAAGAGAGCTTATCTGGACGAGAAACAAACAGCAACATTAGAATAAAGGCACTCTAATTCAAAGAAAACTAATGATASTGATGCATTTAGAGAATTGTTTTTCTGCTGGGCTGTGATGAKGCAGTGTGCAGCTTTCTGAAAGGACACCAGTGTTTAATAGGAATTCTCATTCTCTGAGGATCTGGATATGAGAAAACAAAAAGCTGGACCTCTTGTTTTTATTAGCATGCTACGGAGCCCGCGAGGGGACACGGGAGGATTTTTTTTTCCTTTTGCGTTCCCTCGCAATACTTTTGCGTTCCCTCACAATACTTTTGCGTTCCCTCACAATACTTTTGCGTTCCCTCACAATACTTTTGCTTTCCCTCACAATACTTTTGCGTTCCCTCACAATACTTTTGCGTTCCCTCACAATACTTTTGCGTTCCCTCACAATACTTTTGCGTTCCCACGCAAAAGATTGTTTTGTATATTAACTGAATTAAATCAGTCTTTTATTTTGAAATATCTGGTTACCAAAACAAGATGTGTCGCCACAAGTTTGTGAAACTGACATTGATGTTGCGTGGCTGTACTGTGTTAAAATCGCCATATGACATATTTCCATGCGTGGCTGTGTGATATATTTATTCTGAAGCTGAATTAAAGCAGTAGGATAACTCGCTAATGGTGAACATGTGAGTTTGCTAATAAACCAGCAGGCACAACAGTGATAAACTACTTTTGTGAGGGAACGCAAAAGTATTGTGAGGTAACACAATACTATTGCGTGGGAATGCAAAAGAAAAAAATCTCCCATGTCCCCTCGCGGGCTCCGTAGCATTCAGCTCATTGATAGCATGAAAAAGTTCCAAACCCAGGACTACCCAGGATCTTTTAGTCTTTTTTTAAATTGTTTATATGTAGTTTTAAATTTCTCATTGCAAACTTGAAAATAGAATATAAAAAGGTTATTCTGAACTAGTTTGAAAGTGTGTACTCCCATCATTTTTCAGATATAATGGTATAAAAATCTAAAAAGCACTCGGCTGACTCAACCAACGTTTTAGCTACGTGCCTGATCTACCTGCACATGATACCAGGTACTTGAGCTGGCACCTAGCATAGATATTACTAGATACCTCATGGCGGGCTACAACGCATCGCACCSTATTGGATGGGGGTCTCTTCACTCTAGGCAGTATGGAGCAAGCAGCCATGCCCTTATTTGGTGCATTAATCTACAAGGTTTTGAAAGCACATCACGTGATTACATTTTATAAGACTGAACAATAGATTTGGTTATTTGACATTTATAATATTTTATCATTGTAGCTAATGTTATTTGTCAATCAACAAAATGGTAACAGCAGGAACTGGTTCTCTTTATCTCTTCCTGGGTTTTTTTTCTTCACATAGAACTCCCAGTGACACAGACTGGGAAGTTCCAATCAGAACAGAGGGTTTTGTTGCTCATTCAAGACAAACGACTGACAGGACGGCTCAGACTGTCAGGATTAGAGGTGATGTTAAAATGTAAATAATGTTTTTGTATACACATAGTGTGACTGCTGCACCTGCAGACACACAGTAAATAAAGGTTGTGTCACTATTTTAGTAGCTGTTTGGTATCTTATGGGTTTGTTTTTGTAAATGTACAAATTTCATTAATCTAAGTTAAATTATTTAGCATTTAAGAATTTATGTAGTTTAATCAAGCAATTTTGCATCAGTTCATATAACATATATATTATTATTATAACATA